TTTAGCAAAACAAATCTACTAAAATGTATATTTAACAAGATATGATGTTGGTGTAAAAGAACAAAAAGCCTCTTGATATATATCTATATTTATATAGATATAGATATATATACTATTTATGCAAATGAACTAATTTAGCCATAACAATTATTTTTTAACTCAATCCTACAGACATTAGGTTTAAATTTTATGTTGCAATATTACTGAATGTAATGTCAACTAGGGCAGCACGGTGGTGCAGTTGGTAGAGCTGCTTCTTCTCAGCGAGCAGGTCGCCTCGGTTCAAATCCCGGTCCGGGGGCCTTTCTGGGTGGAGTTTGCATGTTCTCTCCATGCATGTATGGGTTTTCTCTGGGCACTCCATTTTCCTCCCACAGACTAAAAATGTGTATGTTAGGCTGATTGGTAACTCTAAATTGTCTCTAGGTGTGAGTGAGAGAGTGAATGGTTGTCTCATTTGTCTCTATGTGTCCCTGTGATGGACTGGAGACTTGTCCAGGGTGTCCCCTGCCTCTCACACAGTGATGGCTGGACATGGGCACCAGTGACTCCTACGACCCATAAAAAAAGAAGTGGGTAAAGATAATGGATGGATGGATGTCAACTAAAATTAAAACTTAGTTGAATATGCATCCTTTATCTTTACCAGCTTCTTTCTTTTCGGGTTGCGGGGGTCACTGGACGTTAATCTTGTTGCATGAGCTACGTTTTGTTTTAAATCTTATTTTAAACCAATAACTTTTTTTTCTTCTTTCAGAGTAAAATGCATAGTAATATGATAAACACTTAAAATTTTAATCCATTTCATTAATGAGGCACTTTAGCATTAGCATGCAAGCTAACGTTCATTGATGGCACTAACGAATAAAGGTAACAATATATTTTTATCGTCCTTTTTTGAACTGAGAGTGTTTGTGTGGGAATTTTAAATCGGATGAATGGATTTTTAGCTGAAATATCACATGAAGAGAACAGAAACCAGCTGGACTGTAGCTGTGCCACAGAACACTTTTCTTTCGGTCCTTCGTGACCTTTTCTAAATCTCCTGCCCAACACCGGGGAGACGCCTGCTCCAAGTGAGCTTTAATTATGTCAAAGCAATTACAGAACCAATATGAAGACCTTCTGCACTGAGGAGGGAAACAGCTGCAGGAACTTCAGATTTAAGACCTGAACCAGGAAATGAGTTTATCTTTGAGGATCCAGCATTAAATGTATAAAGAAATGGTTTAAATGAAGCTTTCATTTGGAAAAGAAAAGCAACTCGAAGCAAGTATAAACACACTAAATGCAACTCTTTTTAAATTTCACAGACAAAAAAAGTTCAGTACAAATATATTGCAGTTTTAAAATTGCTGCATTACTCTCCAATGCAGTATAAAACACCAGTTAGAAAAAGGTTTCAGTGCCATCTTGTGGAAGGCTACAATAATTTTCCTCCAACATACCTACCGGTATGTAGTTTTGAATAGGACTATTACCTTTCATGGTTTCTCTGGTTTCTAGACCTCAAATAGGCTTTGATTATTTGCCACTCGTTTTTTCCTGCAAATATATTGTCACCCATAAATTTAAATTTTCTAGAGTTTCACCGTCTTTATTGAGTTGTTTTATCAAAAGGTGCCAGCAGTGACACCGTTGGGTAGCCGTTAACGAAACTCAAAGCAATCATTGGATGCACATCTCTTTTGCAGTTACGGTAATCCAATTCAAGGCTGCGGTCACAGTTAAATTACCATAGCAAACACAAAAAATGGCGCTACCTCTGTTGATTTTACAGATGCTGAAATTACTAAAATTTGAAACTACTAATTTGGAGATGGAAGTACCTCAGAGTGATCCACAACCCATACTCTGAGGAAGTGGAAGTAACAGGTAAGACTATAAAGCGCTTTTCTATCTTATCGAGATACTCAAAAGTGCTTTACACTACAATCGGTGTCCTCATTTACCCATTCATACAGCACTCTACTAGCTGTATACAAAGAATAATCAGTGCTTTATCACATTCACACACTGGACACAAATCGGAGGCAATGAAGGGTTCACTGTCTTGCCCAGGGACACCGAGGCATGTGACTGCTGGTGGAATTGAACCCCCAACCCTTGTATTGGAGGATGACTGCCCTAACAACTCAGCCACAGGAAGTAATATGAAGTAAAACAAGAATGTGAACGATTGTGAAAAACCAGAAAGATCGGTACCTGTCTTACATGAACACATTTAACAGTTTTAGCTCATAACCGAACAAGGTAAAAGGTTCAGTAAGAACTGGATCCACACAAGTGTAGGTGGGAACAGCTTTATTAGAAATTTGATTAAAAAATAAACACCATTCGATCAAGCCTGTAAGAGTGCATGTCTGCCCTCAGTTTTAATACTCTTCTTCCTCTTCATCGCCTTCCAAAGAGTCGATGCCAACTTCTTCGTAATCCTTCTCCAGGGCGGCCATGTCCTCTCTGGCTTCTGAGAACTCTCCCTCCTCCATCCCCTCACCAACATACCAGTGGACGAAGGCCCTCTTGGCGTACATCAGGTCGAACTTGTGGTCGAGTCGAGCCCAGGCCTCGGCGATGGCGGTGGTGTTGCTCAGCATGCACACAGCCCTCTGCACCTTGGCCAGGTCTCCTCCAGGAACCACGGTGGGGGGCTGGTAGTTGATGCCCACCTTGAAACCAGTGGGACACCAGTCCACGAACTGGATGCTGCGTTTAGTTTTGATGTTGCTGATGGCTACGTTGACGTCTTTGGGCACCACGTCGCCACGATACAGCAGGCAGCAAGCCATGTACTTGCCATGCCGGGGGTCACATTTCACCATCTGATTGGCTGGTTCAAAGCAGGAGTTGGTTATCTCTGCCACAGTCAGCTGCTCGTGATAGGCCTTCTCTGTGGAGATAACTGGGGCATAGGTGGCCAGAGGGAAATGGATACGAGGGTAAGGCACCAGGTTGGTCTGGAACTCCGTCAAATCCACGTTCAAGGCTCCATCAAAGCGCAGAGAGGCGGTTATGGAGGAGACTATCTGACTGATCAGGCGATTCAGGTTGGTGTAAGACGGGCGCTCAATATCTAGGTTCCTGCGGCAGATGTCGTAGATCGCCTCGTTGTCTACCATGAAGGCACAGTCGGAGTGCTCCAGGGTGGTATGTGTGGTCAGGATGGAGTTGTACGGCTCCACCACAGCTGTGGACACCTGAGGAGCTGGGTAGATGGCAAACTCTAGCTTAGACTTCTTGCCAAAGTCTACGGATAGGCGCTCCATGAGCAGAGAGGTGAAGCCGGAGCCCGTTCCTCCTCCAAAGGAGTGGAAGACCAGGAAACCTTGAAGCCCTGTGCACTGGTCAGACTGAAAAAGAAAAAAAAGGTATGTTTTACAATCCAGGGCTGCCACAAGAACCAAAAAGAATATTCTAGTATGAAGTTCTCATAGAGAGATGTTAAGTCCTCTCAGATTTTCTTACCAGTTTGCGGATTCTGTCAAGGACAGAATCGATGTGCTCCTTTCCAACAGTGTAGTGGCCTCGGGCGTAATTGTTTGCTGCATCCTCCTTCCCAGAGATCAGCTGCTCTGGGTGAAAAAGCTGACGGTAGGTTCCGGTTCGGACTTCATCTGAAAAACCAACAAGGTTCGATGGTAGGTTAAATCCTGTTTTACAGTAAAAATTGAACAGTATTCGGAAAAACATGTTCCAAAGAATTGAAAGTCTTCCCGAAGTTGAACCGACACAAGTATACAAGTTTTAAATTAAACTTTGCAAACGTAATCGGATGTGCATCTATAACTAATAAAACTATCTACCTGGTTCAAGATGGCTGCCTCAGCTAGTCAACTTTACAAAACACAAAAATGACTAGCTCTTGACAATTTGGCAGATAATAGCCTAAAATTTGGCATTATTAGCCACGATTAGGGCTGGGTGATATACCGATATACATTTTTAAAAATATCAATATAATTTAATTTGCAATATAAAATGAGACTATCGATATAAAGCAATAGTCATACTCTAGTGTACCTAGTTAAGAAACTTTTATTTAAGCTTTTAGCTAGTGTCATGCTTCTTTTAGCTGTAACAGCTGAATATCTGCTTCTTTAGCAGTTTTCAGCCAAGTAATTCTGGACAACATACATTTTAAAGTGACATGTATTTTGACAAATACTCAGATATTTTTGATAAAAAGCAGTGACGACCAGTTTGCAACTTTAAGCGCGCTTTTTTTTTCTTTTCATTTTTTTGTCCAAGGTGTTGCGTCACAACGCGGCAGGTCAGCACTGTGCAAAAACCACAAGATCAATATTATTTTTGGACTTGTATCCAAAATAAGCTACGCGTGTTTTATTTTAAAAAAAAGAAAAAAGGATTTTGTTTCCTTTAACTTCAAGCGTATCAGAATATCTGGTTTAGATCCCAATATTCCAGTATACCAATGACAGTTGGCTCCAGGTCCACAAAGATGGCTCTAGGGACGTATTTCCCAGTGCCGGTCTCACTGAAGAAGGTGGTGAAGGAGTCGTCGTAGCCTCCGGTGGGCTTATCTTTGGGCATGTGGCCGTCCGGCTGGATACCGTGCTCCAGACAGTACAGCTCCCAACATGTGTTGCCCATCTGGACCCCAGCCTGGCCCACGTGGATGGAAATACACTCACGCTGTGGATGACAAAGGAATCATTATATATCTAATTAAAAGTCTAGCATTGAAGGAATGCATATGCCAACCTTTCACTTTAATCACATTTAGACAACACTTGTTTTAACTTGTAGAAAAATGACAGCCGAGTGTTTAGAAAAGCAACAGAGTGGAGTAAATATTTTAACTACAGCTTTTATTTTATTTACTAAAATTCAAAACTCCAGTCTGTCATCAAACAAACCTCCCAGTCATCCTTGCAAATGTGATGCGTCAGTCAAAACAAGTGTCAGCGATCTTAAAAAAAAAAAAAAAAGCGCAGATCGTCACGGATTCCTCCGCGCAGAGGCCAAAGTGTCTCCGCACCCTGCTCAAGTATTTCTCATTGGTTGTAAACATGTGGGTGAGAGAGTGGAGGAGGGAGGAGGTGCGTCCATTAAACAAGTCTGGTCCAAACGTTTTCGCAGTTTGTCCTGAGGGAGTTACAAGTGCGACGATAGGGATTTTCTTTGAGTAAGCGCAAGGGTCCCCCTGGTACCAATCCATGGATCATTTAGTAACGAGTCACACACAAAAATAACAAACATTTCTTTTTTTAACGGTACATTGTTGAAAGATGACATCTTCGGTATGCACCTCCCTCTTCCTGTGCATGACCCAATTTCTCACATACAACCATTTTATGGAGCGGCAAGTTATCACCGAAGTAACATCTAAAATAATAATAATAATAATCTTGCAAACCTACAAGCTAAGTCCCAACTGTTCCGATTTGGGCGGGACAATCCCAGAATTTGCCCTCCCCCGTTTTGCATTCCTTATCCGGGATGGGAGTGAAGTGCTGACTTGGCTATCCGTTTATGCCAATTTTCTTACCATGCGGCAGCCCTCTGCACCTGGCTGAACCTGACTGGCATGGCCTGACCTGGCCCCGCACAAGCTCTAGAGACGCCATTAAGAAGTTTTCTGCTGAACATGAAGCCGCTTGAAAGGCCAAAACTTTTTGCCACACAAGTGTGGATTTGTCCAGAAGATATTGAAGTGATTTATAGACCCGGGTATGGGGTTTCTAGGTTTATGTGTACTTTGTGTGAAATTAGGTGAGAAGAATGTTTTAATAGGCAAATATCAGCAGACATCAGTCCTCAGTGCTTGCAGTTAATCTCAATAACCATGTCTCTTTATGATACTATATGCCGACAACCATTTGTCATATTCTTGCATTTGGTGCCTTGCACTACGTTCATAGTCTGAATTTGTGGAATTCTGTGTAAGTTTTACACTTTAAGCATAATTTGCACAGACAACATGTAAATCCTGTCATATCACACTGGCTCCATGAAGAGGTACAGATGTTGATTATTGCCATTTTCTGTGCCGTTGGTTTCATTTTGAAGCTCATCTACATGGAAAATATTGGGTGTTTACATGTACACTTTGGGATAGAACATCACTTGACATTTGTTATTAGTAAATGGCTGTAGTTCATTTTGTAATAGAACTAATTGTACAAGTTTCTATAGTCTTTTGCTAGAAAGGACATATACACTTGTGCCGTAATCAGCAGGTACAATATACTACAAAGATTGTACAACATTTTGTTTGAGTATAGTTGATTTAGTATGCACAGATGCTAGTCACAAAATTAGAAAATCATGAAAAAGTTGGATTTATTTCAGTAATTCCATTCAAAAAGTGAAACTTGTATATTATATTCATTCATTACACACAGACTGATGTATTTCAAATGTTTTATTTATTTTAATGTTGATTATAACTGACAACTAATGAAAACCCCAAATTCAGTATCTCAGAAAATTAGAACATTACTTCAGACCAATTTTTTTTTTATTTTTTTTTTTTTTTAAAGGATTTTTAGAAATGTTGGTCAAATGAAAAAGTATGAACATGAAAGTATGAGCATGTACAGCACTCAGTACTTATTGGGCTCCTTTTGCCTGGATTACTGCAGCAATGTGATGTGGCATGGAGTGGATCAGTCTGTGGCACTGCTCAGGTGTCATGAGAGCCCAGGTTGCTCTGATCGTGGCCTTCAGCTCTTCTGAATTGTTGGGTCTGGTGTTTCACATCTTCCTCTTCCCAATACCTCAGATTTTCTCTGAGGTTAAGTAGTCAGGTGAGTTTGCTGGCCATTTAAGAACAGGGATACCATGGTCCTTAAACCAGATACTGGTAACTTTGGCACTGTGTGCAGGTGCCAAGTCCTGTTGGAAAATGAAATCTGCATCTCCATAAAGTTGGTCAGCAGGAAGTGCTCTAAAACTTCCTGGTAGATGGCCAAGTTGACCTTAGACCTCAGAAAACACAGTAGACCAACACCAGCAGATGACATGGCCCCCAAACCATCACCGACTGGAAACTTGACATGAACCTCAAGCAACATGGATTCTGTGTCTCTCCTCTCTTCCTCCAGACTCTGGGACCTTCATTTCCAAAGGAAATGCAACATTTACTTTCATCAGAGAACATAACTTTGGACCACTCAGCAGCAGTCCCAGGCGAGACGCTTCTGATGCTGCCTCTTGTTCCAAGAGTGGCTTGACACAAGGCATGTGACAGCTGAAACCCATGTCTTGCATGCTTCTGTGCGTGGTGGTTCTTGAAGCACTGACTCCAGCTGCAATCAACTCTTTGTGAATCTCCCACACATTTTGGAATATAATTTAATATAGACATTAAAATAACATTTGAAATATATCAGTCTGTAATGAATGAATATAATATACAAGTTTCACTTTTTGAATGGAATTACTGAAATAAAAGCAACTTTTTCATGATATTCTAATTACTGGTTAATTGTAGGGCAACTTGTTCTGCATTACCCAGTGGTGGGCACGGTTCCGCTAATCCACTATTAGCGGACTTTAACTTTCCATGTAACGGATCAACATTTTTGCTTACTTTGAAAAACTTTAGTGTTTCCGCTAAATTTAAAATTCATTAAATTCAAGTCCACTGATTTTTTTTTTTTTTTTTTTTTTTTTTTAAACATGGGGGCCGAGATGGTGCAGGGCAGCCGGCTTGGGACCCAAAAGTCCCAGGTTCGATCCCCAGTCACTGCACATCACGTGGCGTCTCTGGGCAGCACGCCTCATCCCCAAAATGCCCCCCGGGCGCCTTCAATAGCTGCCCACTGCACCACCTGGTGGTGGATGGGTTAAATGCAGAGACTAATTTCACCATTGTATGGAAACATACAGTGCTGACATTATCATCATCATCATCATCATCATCATCATCATCATCATCATCATCATCATTATCATCATTATCATCATTATCATCATTATCATCATTATCATCATCATTATAAACAGACGATGTCTGAGATGGGCATCAGGCCAGGACTCTGCAGTTTACTCTTATCTGCAGGTCAGCAGTCACTCTTTCAGGGATGAAGATGTTCACATCCTTGATAGAGAGGAACAATTGAGAGAGGAGTGAAGGAAGCCATCTTTGTGAAGAGAACTCGATCATTAAACGGGGGCGGAGTTCTCCAAGTTCAGTCATCCTCATACAATGCTGTTATTGCTAGTTTCAATCAACCCTCTATGAATAGCAAGCAGCCATAAGGGCATTAACAATCAATTGTTAGGCCGATGGTCCTCCTTTTGCATGTAAACAAATAGTTTGGGCTGTCAGCAGGAAACTGGTTGATCCACTATGAGAAGATGCTATTTATGAGACAGAGTTTGTTGCAACGCCTCAGACTGAAGAAGTCTTTTCGATAAAAGACGAAACATTTAACAAAGAAGAATCCGTCCAGCGGACCCGACTTATCCGTGTTGCGTTCTATTACAAAGTTGTCACATTACAGACAGTCTTAGTGTCAGCGACAGAAGTTTATGATAAAAAGTTAGCGCTTTAGCGTTAGCTTTGTTATATCTGTTAAGCATTAGCTAAGCTAAATTTTTAAGTTAAAGAAGCTAACGTTTTGGTTAGCTGTGCCCACTGGTGTTACCAAACTAGTAGATTTCTTGGGGTATGTCACTTATGGTGCAAAGGTTATTTTGTGATAAAAGTACAGCATGATGCAATCAATACAAACTCATGGTCCCAAAAAAAAAAAAAAAAAAAAAGGCATTCCAAATGTCCTGTGTTGATAAAATACGAAGTATAAGGAAAACGAAAAATGTGTTTAGACCAAACTTCTTTATCTTTAACAGATAACATTCTGTGACCTTTGACCTCACATGAAACAATGTTTAATGTCTAATAATCTAGGTAGATAAATCTAACACAGGTCCTTTGGATGGATTCTTTGTTAAAACATTTAGTCTTTTACCCAAAAGACTCCCGATTTAGCCTAGTTAGAAAGAGGTTTAATCCTGTGGTCCCGTTTCTTAGCGCCAATAAAACTGTCCTTTTTCATTAGAGTTTCAGAAACAGTGCAGCTGAGCTTTAGACAAGACTTTAAAGATTCTGGTTTACAAGGAACAAGGTTGATATGAAGTGATTAAACAAAGAGAAACCCTGAAAGCCTCGTGACAACAGGCGAGGGGTCTGAGTGACAGGCGAGCTGCTAAGTATGGAAATAGCAACCAGCTATTTTGAGAGGAGTCACTCGTTCGACCCAGCTTCACCCTCCTGACCCGATTAGACTGTCAGCAGCTTTAAAACTGAAAACTTTTCTCATCGTTCCGCAGCAGAGGATCACAGACTCACCATGAATATTGGAGGATTGTGGGTGTGGCATTCTTTTGGATTGTTGCAACATGCCTCACTGGTTCAGGCTATTTTACTCAAACAGGGGGAAGAATGAAGTCATGGTTTGCTCTCTGGATCTGACCCTGAGTGAAATCAGGCCATGTTTGTTAACACGACACAGGAGCATTGTGCTCCTCAGAGATCGCCAAAATTGGTGGAATAATGATGTTTTCCAGACTTAACTTAGCTACCATTACTACTTTTAGCTTTTAGCCAGTGTTTTGCTCCTTTTAGCTACCTTCTTAATATTTAGATTGTCAGTAGCCTGTTAATACTTTAAGCAAACTTTTAGCTGCATGTATTGTTTTGCTACTTTTAGTTTTTAGCCAGTGTTTTGCTGCCTTTAGCTAGTCTTTTAATATTTTAGACTGTCAGTAGTTTAATAGTTTAAGCAAACTTTTAGCTACATGTACTGTCTTGCTACTTTTTTTAGTTTTAGCCAGTGTTTTGCTACCTTTAAACTAGCCTTTTAATATTTTTAGACTGTTGATAGCCTGTTAATAGTGTAAGCGAAATGGTAGCTGCATGTATTGTACTTATTGTATTTGCTGTTTTTAGTTTTTAGCTAGCCTGCTTTAAAGTTTTGTGTTTTCAACTCTGAGCTGGTCCTTTGTTGTCATCGTTTTTAGCCATTAGCTTTTTTGTTAATGTTTTAAGCAAACTTTAGTTTTTAGCCAGTGTTTTGCTACTTTTAGCTAGCCTTTTAATATTTTGACTGTCAGTAGTTTGTTAATACTTTAGGCAAACTTTTAGCTGCATATTGTTTTGCTACTTTCAGGTTTTAGCTAGCCTGCTTTAATGTTTTAGGTTTTCAACTCTGAGCTAGTCCTTCATTATAGTTTTTAGCTTTTACCCTTTAGATAGCACTCTTTTTTTTCTTCTATCTAGTGTTCTTTCAGCTTTCTGTAAACTTTTTGGTATTTTAGTTAGCCAAAATTTGCATCTTTTGTCTTTTATTAAAGTGATTTTGATATTTTTAGCCAGCCTCTGCTGTTTTAGCTTTAAACAACTCAGTTTTAGCTTCTTCAGGAGTTCACAGAAGTCATCCAGCGCTCAGCTTTCACTGTATTTGAGCAGAAAGTAACATTCCTCTGGCTGAAGCGGCAAACCTTTAATCATGTGGTTCAAGCCAGCAAGAACCGCTTCTGTTCCTTCCTGTACACATTACAACACTGTTTGCACCATCATGTTCAAACTCTTTAGGTTTCTTTAGCTGTTTTACGGAAAACGGAACATTCTGTACAAGGTTCTCTGTACAGTTTCAGGACAGAGATGTGAACTACACGAGGGGATCTTGGAGGCCACATCAGCATTCCCAGTAGTCCACCAGGCCCCATATGGAAACAGTTAACCTTTGCTGCCAGGGGACATTTTCCACACTGGTGGATGCTTTAAACAATTCTTTCCTTTGTTTATCTGCAGTCGACACATCGTTAGACAGAAGCTCAAATCTGGAACTAAACTTAGGAAGGAAGTTGTGAAAACAGGAAACTGTGAGTCACATTTCAGCAGCAGCACTACAGTCTTTTTCAGAAGCTACTTAAAGAAAAAGGCTATTAAAAGGGAGACATAGTAAAAGTTTTACTCACCATGTTCTTGTTTTGTCTTTTTGGGGGGAAGGGAGAAGTCAAAGTGTGCTGTTCCTCACGTTGAAACCACAATGAGATCTCAGTGAGGGAAGTCCTAAGCGTGCCTCTGCTCTCGCTTTTAAACCTCCTACAGGAGGCGGGGCGAGGAGGCGGGGCGAGTAGGCGGGGTAAACTGAAGGGGCGGGGTCAACAACTGCTGCAACTCTTTTTTTTTTCCCCCACATCAAAACAAGGCTTCCTGCTCAGCTCTATGCAATCAAATCTGACCCAAACTCAGTGGCGATTTTAGCCTCTTTTGGGGGGTGCTCAAGCACCCCCAAATTTTAACTCAGCACCCCTGAAAAATAAAGAAACCATAATTAAGATTTTGTAAGGAAACTCAGTTCTTAAACCTTAGATTCACCAAAATATTGAATAAATTTGGAATAAATGATACAAACCAGTAAACTCTATTTCTTTTGCACGAGTCGGATACTCAACGCCACCTGTCAATCAATCCAGTAGGCTCGTCTGCCACTGACCAATCGGCGACCTCAATTTGTCCCAAAGTAAAATGCCCCTTGCGTGAGAGAAGTGGAGCGTGCTTCATTCACACAAGGAGAGCTGTTGGTCAGGCTACTTCTTGTTGCTCTCTAAAATAGTTATTGAATCAAGTGTTTACGTATGGAGGTAAACGAACCAGAATGAAGGAATTGACATTTACTTTATTCAAAACTTTCTGGGGGAGTACCCCCCAGATACTACCACCTGCCAAAGCTGTTGTGATATTTCAAAACAAAACCTTTAAAGCTTGTGAGATTTTTTTTTTAAACAGCTCATTACTGTAAAAATTAAAGTAGCATTCCTTAAAAGAATACTTCTTTGTAGGCAGACATTTTAAACGCAGACCTTACGCCATTTGTTTTCACTCAGAGTGTAGATTGGAGATGACTCTCAGCTACTGCCACCTGTGAAAATCATTGACCTATAGTCATTTTTGTGTCAGGTAAAGTTGATTTGCTGTAGCAGCCATCTTGAATCAGGTTGACTCCAAATGGTAACTAGCTATAAATGTACATACAGTGATTACTTTCTAAAAGCTTCATTAAAACATTTGTTTCTTGAGGTACTTTGCTAACAGAGTCCACCAAACAAACAAGACGCAGTCAATTGCATAATCACCCCGCAGGCAATAATTATTTGCTTCTTCAACTGAATATATTTTTCTAACATCCTAATGTATGCTAAATAATCCAGGTAGAAAAATCTAAGTTAAAACCCCGTTTACATGAGAACCACTTCTGGAAACTTTAGTGTTTCTCCAATCTTTATTGGGGATAAACAAGCCAGTGGTCACTCTTTCAGGGATGAAGATGTTCAAATCCTTGATAGAGAGGATTGCTGGTTTCAGAGAGGAGTGAAGGAAGCCATCTTTGTGAAGAGAACTCATCCATAGTTAAACAGGTGTGGAGGCCTCCGTGTTCAACTGTCCCCCTCTTACAATGCTGTTATTGCTAGTATCACTCAGCCCTCTGTGACTAGCAAACAGTCATCAGGGCACTAACAATCAACTGTTAGGCTGATGGTCCTCCTTTTGCATGTGAACAGCTGGTTCAGGATGTCACCTGCAAACTGGTTGATCCACTATGAGAAGGTGCTGCTTATAAGGCTGAGTTTGTTGCAGCACCACAGACTGAAGAAGTCTTTTGGATAAAAGACAAAACGTTTTAAATCCCGGTCCGGGCCTTTCTGGGTGGAGTTTGCATGTTCTCTCGAGCATACGTGGGTTTCCTCCCACAGACCAATAACATGCATGTTGGGCTGATTGGTAACTCTAAATTGTAGGTGTGAGTGAGAGGTTGTTTGTCTAGTTTTTCTGTCTGTGTCCATGTGATGGACAGGCCTCCAGTCCAGGAAGTACCCTGCCTCTCGCACTGTGATGGCTGGACATGGGCACCAGTGACCCCAGCGATCCAAAAAGGAAGAAGCAGGTAAAAGACAAT